GGAGTGGCTTTCTTCGCCAAATAGCAGTACCATCTTTGTTGTGTTTGTATCATTGTTGTCCACTCGTTGCTTGTACCTAGATGTTTTGATGTCGTTGTCTTACATCTCTGTCTTAATAAAATCCTGTGGTATTATGGAACGGAGGGAGGACGAATTTACCAAACAAAGGCAATGACGGATTGATCCAGTTCAACAGCGTAAGAAACAACTAGCTGGTAGGTCACTATTAAAGAGACCCTAACTATACCCCCATCTTCACATATGGCAATGTATATGCGTGCATCTTACTAGCCGCCTTCGCCGTATTTGCACATACGTGCTTAATTCATGTTATAGCAGATGCCACTTGCGCCACTCACATGCATGTTACATACAGAAGTAGATCTGCCGACAAGTAACAAACTACTCCCTCCGTCCCAAAAATAAATGTCTCAAGTTTAATACAATTTTGTACTAAATTTAATACAAAATTGAGACACTTTTTTGGGGACAAGGGAGTAGAAAATTAGCATGTCAATGCCTTGGGCTTAAAGAGGTTTTGACCGAGTTATAATACCCGGGCACTATTCCGGTTTGACCTGTCAAGTTCCAAACTGAAGATTTAGATATGGAGGGTCTTAAATATATATAGTGAAAACCAAAAATCTATTTAAATTTTCTAGCGACTAGGCTACGACATATTTGAAATCATGGTTAGACAATTCAGGGAACCGATTTGAAACTTGGGGGATTCCAGTATCACTACTCTAGGATATATTGCCGTGTGGAGGCGAGCGCTAAAAGCCTAATGATGGCGGGCGAGGTCTCTAGAATCGCCCGCCGCGATGGGGTTATTTCAAGCGCTCATACATACGTTCATACACTAACCCCTATGAACGCACGCACGCACGCCCTACCCTTATGAGCACCTCCGAGGGACTAAGCCGCCATATCATCTTGAGATTTGCGAAGCCATCATAGGTGCCTCGTCGTCGACGGAAACGTCTCTTCCCACTGAAAGCGTATCGCCAGAAATAATGCGAGCACCAGAATTTGAATCCTGATGGGCTGGGATACCACTATCCCTCTAATCATCCAACCGCACGTTGCACGGCTCAATATCCTTTTTGTTCTACGCTACGATGTAAAAAAGAAAGCTTTGCTACCCCACCAAGCTCCAAGATGTGTTACGCTGAGTTTCACTATTTGTGTGCAATATTTGAGGTTACCACGACTGTACGGATCTAAAAAACACGCACATGGATGGACCTGAAAAGGCCAACATGAAGAAGCCTATGCGCCTCCTCATCATATGGCGGAGGATCCATCTCAAAAGAAAACAAAAAACTTATCGCGGATGAGAACCGGTCGTCCGTCTTCTCCCCTCGCGCCGCTTCCCCTTGGCGTCCCTTCCCGTTCATCTTCTCGCGGATGAGAACTGCCGCCTCCACTTTAAATAAACCATCGCCAAGAACTGCTCCCCTCCCCACCCCCTTCCCAAACACAGCAAGTCTTCAGCCGGCCGCCGCGTCCACAAGCGCTGCGCACGATCGACATGGCCACCGGCGCGGCTTGCGTCGCATGCTTGAATCCCGTCGTGTACGTGGTCGTCGTCGGGAGGAACGCCTCCTAGAGGTAATGCCAACCTGCTTCTTGTTTCTTCAAATTGCGTTCTGAAAACTGAAGTGTGCATCTGTGAACGGTAGATCCGGGCGCGCCGTGTGGCTCGGGACGACGCCAAAACACTGGGCTGGGGATTACTGGTTGACAAGGCTGGATGCGTGCCATCTACTTCGATTCTGGTATATATGCTTCTCTTTCTTCAATCATTTGTTTACTGTTGCTCTGTTTCTACAGTTAGGCAAGTTTCAATGTCCAAAAGATGTTTTCTAAACTTCAGAAACACGAGGTTTATTCTTTCTGGTCACCTCGGGTAGTAACATAATCGTCTGTGGCATATTTAACTCGGGTGATTCTGTTTAATTACTTTGGGGCAGGAATTCCAACTCTGCCAGTAAATCAAGATTAAGTGGGATGGTGTGAAATCCTGTTGCATGTAAATGCCTAACTAAATTATTGAAGATGGTCTGAAATTCTTTTGCATTATTTGCTTCACCAGCTATAATTGTATTGATACAACTGGCTCACCATAGTTATATTTACCAAAAAATATATTGTCATCATAGTGTTGGTTCCTTTCAGATTTCTGGTGCGTCTATCCACCATCGTGCGACTAGCTTTTGAGAGCAAGATGGTTAGTATATATTCTTCTTCGCCCTCATCTAGGTAGACGAGTCGGTTCCCCACGGAGCATTTTTTTATTGGACATTTACCTGTTGTTTTTGTTTGGGTTCTAAGCTGCAACGTTTGGAAATTTAACTTATCGCCCCTCCCACACAGATTAACTAGGCGAGAGTATTATTCCATCAAAAAACAAACTAGGCGAGAATATCGAACTGAAACCAGTTCATTAAAGTACTTCAACAGGCGTATCTTTTCCTGACCGTGATCATCCAATTACCCACGGAATAAATAAGATGGATGTGCTCTCAATACACAACGATCAAAGGCAATGATCCATTTGTGTTGTGAGAAACAATGCATGAGCTTGTGATGATACATTTGCATGCATAGATCTAGGTCTGTGTTGGCAAATTCTATCTAGAAAAATGGTCGAATAATGTTATCCTAGATAGGAATAATATTATCCTAGATAGTAAGACTTGTAGCCTTGAGATTGTATCTCACCTTAAAATGCTGCTGAAGTAAAGATCATTCATTGAACCAATTGGATGTTGTAAATGAGATTGACGTTCAACAAGGCTACTGAGTAGATATGGAAGTTTACTGAAATGACTGAGCTAAGCACCGAAGGGAAACAAGCTATTTCTTTCCCATCAGGCACCTTTAGAAAATATTCATTATTTCTTTTGTTGGTGTGCATACACAGTCTACATTTCATCTTCTAGACCTTCCATGTGCTGGCAAAGTTTGATACAATCGTCTATAAGCCAATCTGTGAACTTCACGTTATCCTTTATTTCAAAGGTTTTAGGCTTGTTACTATCAGCGGTCCAGTGTTAAGTGTTACTTGTTTGCACTCCACCACATGGGGTAGTTCCTAGAGATAGTACTCATATCATTGATGAAGGACTTTTGTCTTTAGTAGCCTATGAAAAAGTGATATGGAACTAGTAAGTAATGACAAGGAGTATTCAACTTAGAAGGGATATGGAAGTAACAATCAAACATTAGTCAAAATTGAAAAATATTTATCCCAAATTTAGGAATATTTTCCGCTTTTTTACGCTCCCAATTTGAATATGTGACAAATTTAAGAAATCTTGCCACATTTTATCCTTTAGTTGTTTGACCTTGTCACATCTCTCTAGATTAGGCAAGTGTACTTCAGAGATTTGCTTTAACATGTCAAGGGGCAATAACAGCATCACACTATGCATTATGAAATAGCAGTAGAAGCAAGAAACAAAGATAGGCTAGGTAAAATAGAACGCTTAAGGGTGACTTTGTAATCCTGCTATTGACTAACACATAGTTAGATGCGGTTTAAAAAAATTCTTTGACAATGGAAAGAAAATTTTGAAGTAACTTCCTAATCTAGTGAGATGTCACAACACCAACAATTGGGGGTTAAAGTGTGGCAAGATTTCCAAATAAGGGAAACGTTGATGCAAAGATCATACTCATAAACTTGGGATATAATATTGAATTTTCATTAAGGTTTCATTGTTCTTACCATATCTCCTCTAGGTTGAACATGACTTCTGGTGAAGTTTTTATGATGTGCATTCGATTGGTCGAAAGCTAACGAAAATATTAAAAAATCTTCATTGAAGATCTTGGTTTCAAAAATTCCTTGGAACTACCACATGTTTTTATCACTTTCAAAGGCTATTCAGAGATCAAAAGCCCTTCATTGATGATCGGGGGTTTGGATATCTCTTGGAACCATCACGTAGTGTGCACTTTTAGGAGGAAACACTTACCTTAGGACCGACACAATTTCTTTTTTTGGCTTTGCTACTTGAGTACCAACATTTGTGAGGGCATCGAAACTTCTCCAGGTGCCTACAAAGGTTTATTCAGTTCGGTTTATGTTTGGTTTATAAACCTTGCACTTCTATGATGTCTGGGACATGCACTAATTCTGCAACTTTGTAGTTGCACGACAGGCTGGAAACTAGCAAATCACCCGTTGAGTTGGCTTCACATGAGCAAAACGGAGCCATGTGCAATGTCTGTGGGTAGTATTGATAAATCTATCAAAACAGCTTGCGACCATGTATCCTACTCCTGGTGGTGGCCCAGGATCCGAATCCACAAACAGGATCACGTGAAGCAGACACTGCCCTAGAGACATCCATGATCTAATGAGCGCTTGACTCCTCGAATCGGAGCTCGCCTAGCTTGGCCATAGCTTGGACGGAGCCGGATGTCGCGGGGACGAAGAAGCTGGTGGCTGGAGCCATTGTTCCCTCGACCAATGGGGGTCGATTCGCGACCGAATCAACTGGATCTATGGCGGAGCTGCCATATTTGAGGCGGCGGCAGTCACGGCAGGAGAGCCAGGAGGGCGGCATGAAATCTTTGATTGGCAGTTGAGCGTACACACCTTGCGCCTACAGTTTTGCTGCAGCAGCTTGCATGCTGCAAATATGTATCACTTGGGGTTGTTTGTTTGGCTGCCTCAAAACGGGACCATAGAAATTGAGATAGGGCTCCAGTTGGAGCACTGTTGATTCAAATGTGATCCTACAAATACCCATCCATTAAGATATAGATGACTTTATAGGTTGGCACTATGACAAAAAAAGTATTTTCTCTGTTAAATCGGCATATAAAGAGGCGGTGTATACTTATGCCTGACATCTTCTAGTGCAGATAATGGTTTCAATTGGAAGAAACTATGGTCGTTGCCGCTGCCAGGCAAGGTGCTACATTTCTTATGGCGGATCACCACCTACTGTTCGCCTTCGCGTACAAAACTTCAGCGCAGAGGTATGGATATTGACACCATTTGCCCGCTGTGTTTTAGATACGATGAAGATGCTGGTCATTTGTTTTTAAAATGTAAAACGGTAAAAGGCATATGGAGATATCCTCTGTTAGAACACATTAGGCTTCGGGTACTTGAATGCCTAGATTCCTTTAAATTCATGGAAGAAATTCTTGAGCTTAATGAAGAAGGAAGATTAAAAACTTGCATTCTCCTTTGGATGTGCTGTTACCAGAGAAACAGAGCTAATGTGGGAGATAGAGTCACGTCGAATGATGAATTATGTTTCTCAATTAACCACTATCTTGTTAATGCTCTAGACAATGTGCAGCCAAGCAAACACACAAGACAGAACACTATCCAAAGACGGATTTCTCCTCCACTGGGAATTATGAAGCTTATCACTCATGGTGCCTTTCAAGAGGAAACTTTTTCTAGAGATTGGTGCTTCACTCTAAGAAATGATACGGGTGCATTAATAGCGGCTGGAGCAGGGAACCTGGAATACTTAGTAGATGCCCTTCACTCTGAAGCACTGGCGATGCTCCATGCTGTGGACGCGGCAATCAGGATGGGGTTGTGATCGGCTAATTATAGAAACTGACTCTCTTTTACTAAAGCAGGTTGTAACATCAAATACTTATGATCTTAAACAACTAGGTGCTATTTTTTGAGATATCAAATATCAATTTAGAGTTGGTTTATCTGATGTATCTGTTAAACACTGTAATCAGGAATGTAACCATGCTGCACACACTCTAGCTGCACATGGCACAACCATGAGTAGGAGTACATGGGAAATCCGGCTTGACAAATTTCCATCCTTTGTATCAGACTGTGTAGCTAGAGATTCTGCCAGCACTACTTTATAATAGAATACAGAGTGTTTCATAAAAAAAGAACAGTTTTTTGGGCAGCTGCCCTATTATAGGGCTGCTGTTGAACCACGTGACACATGTGGTAAGCAATTCAAATGATTTAAAGAAAATTAGGGCTGTTGTTGAAGATGTCCTTACCTCTCAACTTGTTCACGCACTTCCGTTGCTGGTTTCTATGTTAGTTATTAGGAATAAGCGAACTAGTTGCACGTGTGACAGGCCCCACATACTCAAGCACGCACAAGGTGTTTCCAAACCACCACTTTTACCAACCTTACCCGTGCATTGAGTCAAAAAAAAAACACGGATTGCTTACATTTGCCAGAGTGATTTCCTTTGGGCTCATGAGCTAGCCTAATCTCGCTTAGCAAATACCCAAAACAAAATGTGATGACGTTCACCCATTCTGCTAGGTTGTAACTTTTGACAATACAAATACACAACGCGATTTCTGCACAGAGAAGAAAATGGAACAACTAGTGTTCGGCTGAAAATGAACTTACTCTCAGTCAATTTTTCTAATTTGTTCATACATTTACAAACAAAGAGTTCACCTGTGCTACTTAAAAATGCTTAACTAATGTACAAAAAATTATATACTTTGTTTTCATAGCTATAAAAAAGTAAATCTTGTACGGATCTCAATGTTAGATCCTAAAAAATATATAAGCGATCAATGACCAATATATTTGTGTAAACAATTACCAATTTTTATTTTGTGCAGTAATGTTAGTTCCGTAGTTCCTCTCCTTGGTTGGCAAAAACATTCACATACGTATGCAGCCCTGTTTTTTAGTCCCCTTGTATTTTGGATTAACCTTTGACTATAGATTTGACCTGCAAAACAAAAGTGATATCATCTAAAAAAAGTGATATGGCACAAAAAAAATGTTAGTTTTGTATTCGATTTTTTCTCTAATGGTACTATTTTACATGGAGCTCATATTCTAGTAGCTATATTGTCAAATTTTGGCCCAAAATTCAAGAGGACCAATAACTCAGGACGTTGAAGTACATACATGTGTAAATTTTGTAAATTATTGTAAAATGTTATTGTGTTATTTTACTCTTGTCCCATCACCTTGCAATAACACATGTATTTTGATCAATGTTTGTAATCAACTTGCTGCAAAAAAATATAATTATGGCATAATCTAAACATTCGCAATAAATTAACGAAGAACTGTGAAAATTCATCTGTGCATACATTACTACTACCTCCGTCTCGGTGAATAAGTTATTCGCGTAGTTCTAGGTCATCGATTTGAGAAATTAAATATGTGTTATATGTTATGAAAAATATATCACTAGATTTCTACACGGATGTAGTTTCTAAATATATATTTTTTGTCACATGTAATATATATTTAGATAGTTAAATCATTGACCTAGAACTACGCGAATAACTTATTCACAGAGACGGAGGTAGTATGTCAAAACTAAAAAATATGTAGTCCAAGGAGCATGGCATTTAACAAAAAAAAACACAAGGCTAAGGGGAGAAGTTCCCTCCCTTAACTTTCACTGTTAGGTACTCCCTCCGTTTCAAATTACTCGTCGCAGAAATGGTTGTATCTAGAATTAAAATACATCTAGATACATCCATACTTGCAACAAGTAATTTGAAACGGAGGGAGTAGGTGGGAGAATCAAACCCACGTGGTTCGAGTTATCTTGTTGACATGACGTTACTAGCAATCAAACAGGTAAAAATGCTACGAGCCATTTCGTCAAAATAAAATAAAATGCTACGAGTCATGTTCTGAAGAGGCCGGGTCTGAACTAGTCATGTTTCTATCTTGATATGAAGTTACGAGTCAAATAGTTCAAAAAAAAAATGCTGTGAGTTAACGATCGGAAAATGTTCTTTTCACTTGAATGGACTAAAAATTCAAATCAGACCGGCCGGCCGCGCGCCATTATCAGGTCAATCGGCCACCGTCCAAACCATGTCCCCCTGGAAGATCCAATGGCACACCTCAATCTCAACCGGTTTCCCGCCAAGCGCGGCGAACGCGCCGTGACCCGGGCTCCAGTCCGACCAGGGGCGGACCCAGGATTAGGCTAAGGCCCGGGCCCTAGGCCAGCTACAGTGCCCTACAGTGCTGCTACAGTGCCAAGATTGCTATACTTAAGGCACTGCTAATTCTTCACCCCAGGCCCCCTCGGCCTGGGTCCTGGATCCGCCACTGAGTCCGACGTGTCGAGGTGGCAGATCGCCATGCCACGGTTGATCTTCCGCCCGTCGATGGCCAGGATCTCGGCCTCATACACCCGCACGCTCGGCAGCGAGTGGCAGTAGTACACCAGGTACGGCAACATGCTCTGGTGGCACGACACCGACTGCGTCGCATGGCTGCCGGCGACACCCTGCCGACCCTGACATCCCTGCCAATACACGTCGTCATCAACGCAGTAGATACAACCGCTCCTCCTACCAACTTCCAACCGTCGCCGCTGCTGGAGCTACACGGAGCCCACCATAGCATCTCTCCCACCGAACACCTGAGGCTCCCAAGACGACGCTTCCATGGAGGGTACGAAACGCAAGACGCCGCCGCCCAATCCAGACGGAACTTTAGACCTTCGTCTAGGAGGGGTTCTGTGGTGGATAGGAGGGGCCTCGGCTTCACGTCCAGGGAGGTTAACGGCATCGAGGACGTCGCCGATGCCACACCGAACCAGTTGACCAAAGTTTCCTCTGGTCCCCATCATATACCACCAAACCTCCGTTTGCTCCGGATCCAACAGCGAGCCATGAACCAGAACCTGTAGAGATGAAGGTGCCATGCAGCTCAACCCACCAGGAAGGAGGATCGAGAAGAATAGCCGTCGTAGATCATCCAATCACCAAATCCATCGATTCGACATGGCCAGCGATGAACACCATCACCCTGCGCCGGATCCAGAGAAATCCGACCTGAAGCTGGCGGCGCCCACTATGCAGCCACCACCTAGGCGCGCACGCCGCGCTGCCACACCCGACGCTAGCCCGGTGCCTCCTCACGATCTGGCTGTCCCGCTCCAGACGTGATGTTCAGGGGAGAGAAGCCCCGCCGTTGCCCTGCCGGCTAGGCCTCGTCCGACGGTGCTGCTGATGGCGGCGAGGAGGGAGGAGAGGCGGGCGAGGTTCGAGCGGCGGCGGCTAGGGTTTCCCCCCGGGTCGCCCACGGGGGAGACACGAGGGGAAGGGGAGTTGGAGTTCGATGAATCGTAGCACCCCCAAGCAACATAATATGATGCAAAAAAGTGCATGTACAAATGTAACGTATATATCTTTAATCTCAGCCGTTCATACTTAAAATCATTGGTTAAGATAATTTAATGTGTGTGGACGAGCTTGTTTGCGTATTGTTTTAATTATATAATAGATTGTCGAGGCGCCGTGGGATCTGGTAGTAGGAACTGCTCAGGCATGAGCGAACAAATATGGTAACTTCTGATCTGTAAGGGCATCTTCATTGCTGGGCGCCTGCGTAGACGCTTAGGAATAAAAAGATAATTCTCATACAATAGGAAAGAAGCTTAGCGTTTTCTGACCCAACGGCAAGCTCTAATGAGGGGGTGCTAATTAATCGCAGAACTACTAGAAAAACCAATCGCTACATGCATGGCTGTGGGGAAAAAGGCAAATTGCTTTTGCGTCGCTGGGTCGCTGCCAGGTTAGACGCTAGGATTTTGTAGTCTAACTGCCGATCGGGCAGGATATTTATCCTAGCGCCCAGCCCAGGCCTAGCGCCCGGCGTTGTAGATGCCCTAAGTGGGTCATGGTGGTCTCCACACTTGAGGGTAGGGTGCTCTGCATGCATTAGCAGAGATTATCTTCACGACGTATCCCATGCTCATATTGGAAGGAACATGTCGATCGAGATCTAACATGACATGATGTAATATGTTCATGAACCCAATTAACCTCACTTCTTGGTAGTATCACCACTGCAATAATATGATCTCGATATGTTCTCGTTTTGTAGTCCCTCCCTCTATTTCAGTTTACAAGTCTTACACATATACGTAGGTTGCCAATTTTATCACCCTAATATAAACTACATAACACAAAAATTATACTGTCTGAAAATAGAACATCTGAAGTTTATATTGGTATATTTTTTTTTGTAATATATGACTTGTATTAGGTTGGTCAAATTGACGGACGCGCGCGCCCTGTAAACTGAGAGAGAGGGAGTAGAAATATTTGTACTTTCTAGACAAAGTCGCGCTGATAACGTAGTGCTCCTTTTATAGCTGGTAGCCGCATCCTGACTTTAATACAGTGTCAGGATCTTACATGGAGGAAACACTGGAACGCTAGTAAGACTAGCCACAATGGGAGTAAATTCAGCAGTAACATCAAGTCCAACTAAGCAAATATGCTTATATGGCAATGAGTTAATGAGGAGAGGTAGTTTGAGTAACTTAGCTAGTTACCGTAACATTACATGTCTTAATGCACTATGAGTCTATAACCTAATAAATGAAGCTTTGCATCTTATGTTACTACCCACTATGAAGTTAGTAACATAGTCTAGGGATATGTGTATATTACTATGCACTGTGGCTAGTCTAATGCTTTTAAAGACAATGGATTTTTGGGACCTGTGTATCTGACTATCTGTGCATCAGTCATTGATGGTCTCCATTTTGAAATGGACCACTCCGATATATTTGCCATGAGGTGGTGGGGCCGCCATTGGATTTGCCATGA